AACACTTTGTCACTTTAGATTTACAGAGGGAAGAGGAAGCACAACTTTTACTCAAGTATAGTGTTACTTTAATACAAATATTAGTCAAATAGGAGTAAAGGTATACAGCTAGAGAAGTTCTCAGAGTGCAGTGTTGTGACTGATCTGTGCTCCTGAACAGAGGCAGCAGACACACACAATCACACACACACATTGTGCTGTCAATACAAGGAGAGAGGAGGTTACAAAGGTGCTCATATGGACAATGTTTTTCAAATCAATATTTTTGAGCTGCCACCCGGAAGCCATTTTCAATCTGACCAAGCGCCATGGATCAATCTCCCATGAAGCACTGCTGTATGAAAGAGGGATTACACCACTGCTCTAATACGAAGCCTTTCTCCTCTCTGACCGCGGGCTCAAAGTGAGAGGACCAACCAGCCATATTTACTGTGCATCAATAATTTTTAAGCATTCGAAATTGAAAGTTTTCCCCACAAAACCGCACAGTGTGTAGGTCAAAGTCAGGGCGTGCTGGCTGTGGTCGGATGGCAGCGTCGTGAGTAAACAGTTTTTATGTGGCGCTGGTGATTTATGCGTTTAAAATGTGACACAGGTATAGAGCGGCTCTCACAGCAGCACTGAAGCACAAAGCACTGCTCACAAATGTCCGCCCAGTGAGATCACTTTGACTCTGACAGGAGCAGAGCGAGTGCAGCACCTGTCGTGCTCCTGCCCCTCCCACACCCGCCCAGTGCCAGAGCAGAGCGGGGGATTATGGGACCTCTGTGTGCTGGAAGCTGAGGTACTTCATCTTTTTAGTGTGGCCAGAGCATTCAAGCTTGCAACACTGAGTGAGTTTCCAGGCACATCAGTATCCCAGTTATTAACCATGTTCCGGTTAGGGCAGTATTCAGGATCTGCTGTTTCCATGTGCTGAGAAATCAGGACACTCATATCACTGTGTACATAATCAAATGTAGTATCCTGGTTTCTTGACATACTGTATTTTATAGACTATAAGACACCGGATTATGAAGCACAACATCAGTAATGTTGAATTCTCTCATCTATTTTCATAAGGTGCACTGGATTATAAGGAGCATTAAGAGAAACACTTGACGACACTTGAGACTGATCCTTAGCCCAGGAGTTCACGATCCATTGGCAGATCGTGGCATAACTCGCCCGGTGTTGCCTCCCTTGGTGAATGTGGATTACGAATGTGAATGTGGGTGGATCATTTAAATCTTGATTTTTATTTTACCTGGTCCCTGAAGGGTTGACCAGGTTTTGTACTCACCCTGTGTGTGTGTCTGCCATTTATGGACCATTTGGTTGGCAGTTTGGTGAGGATCTGAGATCATTTAAGGTCACGCGGGTCAATTGAAAGGTCACAGCAATTTCTGAACCAGCTGCAGCCTAAAATATTCACCCAATCACACAAGTTGGCACACACATAACCGGGGCACACTGGATGGTACAGGTTGAAAGGTCACTTGAAGGCCAAGGTAACCAAGGTCAAATATGTGTTTTTGGTTGTAACTCTGGGAAGGATGGAGCTCGAGGAACGGGAGTGTCTCAAAATCTCAGAAAAATTATTATCTATTTATAATTCTATGCATTTGTATAGTCAGATATTCATAGATGATCACTAATTATAACAGTTCCTTTCTCTTTCAGTGTAGCTGTTAAAATTCTAATTGGAAGGAAAATAATTTCCATTTGTTGTTTTTCTGGTGATACACAACACACTGATCTACAGTCACACAACTAACACACACACAACTCATGAACAATGACATTTTGGTTCCACACAAGTAAACACAGACATTCTCATGTGTGACCAACATCACACTAATGTTCATGGGCCTGTACACATACACACATTGTATTGTGGATATAATGATCATGTCATATGGGCTGAGCTCCTCATAAACTGCTTCTGTGGTGATGAACTGACCCACCGACGCCTCATGGGACCAGGTTGATATTTCTGATTGAGCTTGTTTCTTTCTATTTCTCTATTTTTATTTTTTATTAAATTGTAATACGGGTTATTTATTATTGTGTCCAAGTGAAATATATCTGAAAAATGTAATTGTGATTTTTGAAGGTTCAAACTTAATTTCTTTTTTTATAGTTAAAGTTAGAACATCATTATAAATGTATGTAAATAACAGAATTAACAGAAGATCTGAATGCCCTTTACTACAACATAGATAGAACTGAAACAGTTAAAATTCTTTAAACTACAATAAAAATACAAACCAAAAGCAAAACTCAGGTCCCCATGAAGTAAATCCTTTAATATCAGAACCTCATTCAAAGTTCAGATTTGGGTTAAAATAGTTTAAGATTAAGATGTAGGTGAAGGTTCTAGTTAATAGTGATTCTGGTTAATAGTGATTATGTTTAATAGTGATTATGGTTAAGGTTAGGATCAGTCCCCAGAAAATGAACTGAACTCAGTGTAATGTCCCCGAAAAGCATGGGATATGTGGATGTGTGTGTGTCTCACCTTGTCCTCCCTGGTGGCCCCGCCCCCCTCGGCCCCGCCCCCGTCCCGTGGCTGCAGCTCCAGGAGGGTCCGGAACAGTTTGTCGGAGCTCTGGGTGAGGAAGCCCAGCTCTGCGTTGGGGTGGAGGCCGTAGAGGTGAGGAGACTCCGGGGGGAGGGCCTCGTCTATGTACTGAAACACAACACAAATATCACCATCACGGACTCATACTGATGCACGTGCACGTGATGTCATCAGTATTCTCTGGTGGGAAAGTAACTGAAAGTACTACTACTAATAATATAATAATACATTTTATTTACAGTATATAACCCTTTTCAGGACACTCAAAGACAAACACATATTACAAGAGTCAAAAGAGTAATGAGCAAATAATGCAGGAAAGATAAAAACTGTGAATCATGTTGTGTAGACAGATGGGTCTGGAGATTTGACTCTTCTGTTAGAAGCTCTGTTATTCAAGTTAACGTCTATTCATACTTCATAAGAACATAAGAACTTTGTTCTTGTTCTTGACGTGATAAGAACAAGAACAAAGTTCGTTTGGGCTCTGACATTTCATACTTCAAAAGATGTTCTGCTGCCGAACTGCCCCGCCCCCTCACAAAAATACCTCCTTTCTTGTCCTTCTTTCCCTCATCGTGGACTTCAACAAGCACAACGTCCTCCACTACTGCACTGAGTCTAATGAGAAGTATCTTACAGTTTTTTCATCACAACAGTAGCCGATGTAAATAAAGTAACTGTACATGAGTGAAATGACTGCTGTTAAATTAAGAGCTGCTCTGAACCTGATCTCTTCTTGTCATACTTCATACTTCTTATTAAGTATGAATAGACCTTTACACTTTAATCTGATCTTTATTTTAACACAGTCTAACCTGAAAGAGCTCATTTGATCACAGGCTCCTGAAAATGTGTCTTTTGTATTTTGTCTTGAGTTTTCAGACTGTGTTCAAATTGGTTGTGTTTGCTAATGTGTGTATTGTGTCACCATGGTAACTGATAAACATTCTACCAATAGAGATTCATGTAGAACATCCCCAGCATGACATCACTGAAAAGTATCAAATGACATTATGATTGTGTTTTATGAAGAAGGGAGAAGGCGATCTGCTGTGAAATGACTTTTCTAATCGAGAGTTGGACTGATTTTGATTGGACCAAAGAAAAACCTGCACACATTGGCATGAAGAAAAAAGCAGAATGATGGGAGAAAAGTATATTGATACTTTGCAGCTGATGTTATCAACAATCAATATCTCCTGAGGGTGTGATACAAACTGTAGGCACTGCTCTGTCTGAGGCTTTATTTAGATTCTAATCTGAGTTTATTTGAACACAATCTGACCAGAGAGAACAGACTTTGTTGGAACTTATTTTTACTGTTGAACACGCTCCTCTCAAATATCATCACAGTGAGTCACTCTCATTATTTTGTAGAAAATCAAACTCCTAACCAGGACCGTGGCTGCTTGTATTGATCACAGGCTCTTGAAAACATGCTCTTTAAATCCATTTTGTTTTGTTTTTTTCTTGAGTTTTGATGAATCAGCCTAATTATTCATCATCCACAACTTCCAGAAACCAGAACAGATTTGGCCAATCAAATTTGGACAATAAAAGTCTGTATAATTAGACTCTCTGGGTAAGATACATTTTGCTCAAATACATAAAAAAAAAGTCAAGTACAGACTCTTTAAAAGAAATGGGATAGAACTTTTCTGTCCATCCCAGGCTGTGTCCCTATTTATTCTAAACGCGTCACTCCTGGAAGGCTCTACACTTCAATCCTGCCCTAACTCCTCCCAGTGCAGTGCTGACAAAGTATTTGAGTACACTAAACTCACTGCTAATGACCAGCATACACAGAGGAGGCCAGCCCTGCCCATCTGCTACTGCGCAACTAACATCAATATGCTTTTAAGTGCGTACACATGAAAGACGCCACGCTCGTGTGAAATAAAAGCTCTTCTAATCACAGCCTGCGTGGGGACCTGAGCTGGAGGAGAGATGTGCCTGTAATACACGCCGCAGTTTGATCTGTTATACCTGCTTTGGTTTCAAACTCCAGACAAAGTGCTGAGGCGGAGATTCCACTTGTTTATACGATATTGCAAATGTACAAAGTTTGGTCCATATGGAGGACTGTGAGATAAGACCAAAAGAAGGTACGCACAAGGTGAGTGTCTCCTCTCATCTTAAATCAAGCGAGTTCTGCTGACGAATACTTATGCAACACCTTTTCAACTCCAACCGCTCACTCAGAGGGCACATTTAGAATGAGTTTTGTACAATATTTTTTTAAATCTAAATACAAATGACTTTCCGGTGCACTCTGAAACAAAGCAAGAGACATGCTGCCCGTTTTGTCTCTTGGTTTGACTGGAATGTTTCATAGTGTGGCATTAAATATACATATCTCCTTGGAGGCAGGCAGATAGATAACTATGCTGTGGAACTTTCCTGGCTTAACCACAATGAAAAAATACTAGGTCACATTTTTATACAGCACTTTTTGTCTTTCAAGGCATTCAAAGACTCAAAGAATCAAGAAACCACTCACCTACCCATTCATACACCAGTGTACACAGTAGGGCCCAACTGATATGGATTTTTTTTTTTTGTGGACAATGTGATACTGATAAAATGGGAACTAGAGGTGCTGATATAAAACCAGATATATTTAGCAATGTAAAAATTCACTATAAATCTTCAGTTGATTATAAAACTTAGCTCAGGCTCTACTGGATTTTAAATTGGGTTTGTTTAGGCGACATTTATTGTTATTTTAGCTCTTTACGTCACATTTAAAGACAGTAGGTCGACCTAATGACATTTTTGCATGATATTCTAGCCAATGAAGGAAGTAAAAACTACCGCTATCAGCCTTCAGCAGTAAATGTGGTGTGGTAATTAATTATGCTTTAATTATCATTCACACCTCTGTTCACAGCTCATTTACATATCAATGCAGGTTCATGTGCAGACGCTATAGTCACTTTACACTAGGCCAGTGTAAGAAAACAGACTGTTTATGTGTGGGAGCTACAGCAGCGAAGAGCTAAACTATGAGAATGAAGAAAAAGAAGCTTCAAAACCGACACATCTGCAACACACACATCGCTCACACAGGAACCTCTCAGATCACAAGTCTGCAGTAATAAGTGTCCTTTAAATCCTGACTCAAAACGGTTGTTCGTAAATATAATATAATCCAGCATGTTGACAGGAGCTGCGGGTGTAAACAAGCGAATGTAAGTGACGTGACTCCAGTGGTGTGTTCAGAGGCAGTGCGACAAATGACTCCGCCGATAAATACTGATGAGACGCCACATATTAGGACATTTATCTCTCTGTAAATTGGATTAAATTGACTTAATACAGTCTTGGCTTTATAACGAGGTATAACCTGCCCACGTGGACTATCAGCCCAGATCAGCAAGATTTAGGCCACTAGACGATATGTCTCCAAGTGCCCATATCGGCCGATAATACTGGCCAACCGATATATCCGCCTGGCCCTAGTACACAGACTACAAGTCACTAAGGCAGTATTCATCTGTGGGAGCTGGAATTGCACCATGGATTTCACCGCTCAATGAATGATGTCAAGATCAGGATTTGAACCACTGATAATCATATAATCAACTAACCTTCTCTCTGTATAGTCCCAGTTAGTGCAAACGAAATGAATTAGGCTTGTAAAACTAGGTGCACATCATTTATTAGGATTGTTAAGGAACAAAATATATGGCCTTGTTCTATCCCTATGCAGCGTTTGCATGTTCTCCATGTGTCTGTATGGGTTACCTCACTCCACTCCAGGTTTCCCCCATCAACCCAAAACCTGCATAAAGGTCAAATCCTCCAGCTAACCTAGTCCTGACCAAGACCAGCTCCAGATCCCCTGAGGTCCTGAGGACAGTCCCCAGCACCAGTGAAGGAGACGACACGTTTCCCTACGGGCACAATGAAGTGTACCTAAAACCCTAAACCTGTATTATTAAAATCTTCTCAATTCCAAAGCACACACTCTTCGTTCCAAAGCAGGAGCGCACTAAAGTGGAGTACACAGACTTAATCCTGGTGCAGTCTCTGTCTGTTGTACAACATCTGCTTCCTTAAGTTGAACTCGTCCTGTCGATCATCATTTGTGCTCAGTGTGCGGCGCAGAGGTAAAGACAGGAGCGAGGCCGAGCTGTCACACCCACTGTACAGACACCAGCGCCGGGGAGGGAGAGGGAGAGGTGAGGCAGGGCTGAAAAACGACACAGAGGGACAGAGAGGGAGAGACGCAGACCGATGGAGAGAGATAGATAGAGATAGAGAGAGACACAGAGTGATAGGTAAATATAAACACAGATACAGAAAGAAATAGAGAGATCGAAAAAGAGAGATACATGGAGATAGAAACAAAGAGAAAGACATAGATAGATAGATGGAGAGATAGAGAGAGAGAGATTAGGGATGCATCGATAATCTGTGTATCATTCATTCATTCGTTTTTCAATATAAAACCAAAAATAAGAAAATGATTATTTGTCTCCAAAACCAAAACTAAAAAAACAAAAACAAAAAAACAGATAATGATTAGTTTTTTTTTAATTTTTCGATAAATTAAAAATGGAAAAAACGAATAACGTCCGTTTTCCGACTTTCGTGTCTGTGATGTTGGACTTCTGCACCGCATACGGACTGAACCAGGACTGATCCAGGACCGGGACCAGATCGGAACCAGACTGGGACCAGACCGGGACTGAGACCGGGATTGAGACCAGGACCAGACCGGGACGAGAGCGAGACTGAGACCGAGACCAGACCGGGACCAGACCGCGACTGAGACCGGGACCAGACTGGGACCAGACCAGGACCAGAGCGGGGCTTAGACCGGGACCAGATCGGGATGAGACAGGAACCAGACCGGGACCAGACCAGAACCAGACCGTGACCAGACCGGGACTAAGACCGTGACCAGACTGAGACCAGACCGGAGGTTCAGAGCCCATAGCAGGGCTGGAGCTCGAAGCTGAGGCTCAGACCCTGCGGAGGCTCCGAGTCAAAGCTCGGAGTCCACTCTGGTCCCGCTCTGGTCCCACTCTGGTCCCGGACCTGGATCAGTCCAAAATCGAAAAACTGAAAAAAACAAATCGTTATCCATTTTTTCAGTT